CCATCCCCGCCTCTTCGACCTGTTTGTTTCCTCTCCACCTATCCTCTCCTCTATCCCTCTTCTATCCGCCTCCCACTCTCTCCCTATTTATTTCAAAACCCCCTTCCCCTCCCCCTTTTCTGATGAAGGGTCTAGGCCCGAAACGTCAGCCTCTCTGCTCCTATGATGCTGCTTGGCCTGCTGTGTTCATCCAGCCCTGCACCTTGTTGTCTTAGAAATAGAGATAGTGTGATTCAAAAATCCAGAATAGCACAGCAGGAAGCCCAAATGATATGCCTCAGTTTTAGCTTCAAAGGGTTACTGACTTCAGCAAATCTTTCCATTTAACAGACTGACCATCCTGCGGCTTCTGAGATAGTTCTTGCCATAATATTGCATTCCTTTTCCCACCTTTGAGATTGTGCAGCCAGTCAAGACTCTCACTCCATCAGCCAATATAAAACCCACATCACAACCCATTTGAGCTTTCATGATTTCAAAAGTGTAGATGAAATTCTCTTTCTCCCTGTCTTTCCCATTGCAATGAAAACAGGTGCAGTGAAAGCCAGCTGTTTGCTTTCTTTTTAAGCTGCTCTCAAAGTGAGAAGTGTTTATATCAAGGAATGGACAGTTTCCATTCCCAGTATTCAGTGCTGGGGAGACGATGGCATAGTGTTAGTGTCATTGGCCTAGTAGTTTGGAGGCCCAGGTTCGAATCCCACCGTGGCAGTGAGTGGAATTTTAAATTCAATCGATTAAACCTGCAGTTGAGAGCTAGTCCCAGTGATGGTGGCCATGACAAACAAAACAGATTGTTGTAAAAGCTGGAGGTTTGCTAATGACCTTGAGGGAAGGAAATCTGTTGTCCACAGTAATGCAGCTGACCCTTAACTGCCCTCTGAAATGCCCAAGCAAGCTGTTCAGTCCAAGGGCAATTAGGGATGGGCAACTAATGCTGGCATTGTGGGTGATGCCCACTTCCCGTGGATGGATAGAGACAGAAAATCCAATGTCAGCATCAAACATTGTCAAGTACAAAACAGCTGGACAACTTAACCATGTGCCCAAGACGGTGCCTATCTACAGCAGCGTGGCATTATATTTCATTTTGCACACTTGCCTGCTTTAGCGGCATTGCCAACTAAAAGCAGTGCAGGCCCACATCTACTGCATTCAGACAACTGAAGTTAGTCCAAGTGTATTATAGCTAGGAGCCTTACAGCCAGGTAGACAGATTTAATTCCATTGGGAATTAAACCAGGCCCAAGTCTAACTGATTGCCCCCCATTCCCCTGAAAACATATTCTACAGAATTGCATCGTTACAGAATGGAAGTATCTAGCGCTTAATGATTTTTTTTGTTGGTTGCAGTGAGTTGGTAAGGCAAGATCAGGAAAGAGAGCTCCCTCGTGTGACAGTCCAGTGAAATGACAGATGAAAACAGCACTTCCCAAGTGTGACTATGTCACTAGAGATGATGATCAGGGTCACATAAGGGGAGATCCCTGCAATAAACCTGTTCCGTTTGTAACAAGCAGCTGAACACTTACATTGTACCAAGTGAAAGATGCACATACACAGATTTATAACACTTAGTCAACAGATTATTACCCTTTTAGATGCCTTTGAACAATCATCTACTCATAAGCAGGATGATGAGCACAAAAGGCAGAATACTGCATTACATCCTGTAAGGAATGAGGTCAAGTAGGCTCAGATGTTGTGTTGGACATGCGTGTCTGCATCATTAAATATTCAGAACAGAAGCCTCACCGTGGGAATCCGTTTACCACACTGTATGAAATAACATGGGATGTTCGATCCACTCCACCATCCAACTGATTAAACTTTAATGGCTTGTCCAACTCCCTTTCATCACTGCATGTGAAAACAAAAGGAACAGCCCAATTACTGTGACATTAGGAACACGGAGGCTCCATAATTAAAGCACAGAACGAGGGAGGATGCATGCCATGGGTTCAATGAAACGCACTCCATAGATTACAAGCTCGAGTGAGTTATGAAGGCCACAAGACCTTTGAGTATAGGAGCTGGGACGTTATGTTGTGGTTGTACGGGATGTTAGTGAGGTCTCTTCTGAAATACTGTGCATAGTTCTCGTCTCTGTGTTATAGAAAGGATATTATTAAGTTGGAGAAAGTTCAGAAGAGATTTACCACGATGTGGCTGGGAATGGAGGGTTTGAGTTATGAGTAGAGGCTGGATATGCTGAGACTTTTTTCGCTGGAATGCAAGAAGTTGAGGACTGACCTTATAGAGGTTAATAATCATAAGGGGTATAGATAAGGTGAATAGCACCTCTTGTTTCCCTAGGCTGGGGGAGTTCAAAACTAGGGGGCATACTTTTAAGGTGAGAGGAGAAAGTTTTACAAAGAATATAAGACACAACTTTTGTTTTTACACAGAGTGGTTCATATGTGGAATGAACTGTCAGAGGAAGTGATGGATGCAGGTACAGTTACAATGTTTAAAGAGCATTTGGATAGGTACATGAAAAGGAAAGGTTTGGAAGGATATGGGTCAAATGCAGGCAAGTGGGACTAGTTTAGTTTGGGAACATGGTCGGCATGGACTGGTTGGAATGAAAGGTCTGTGCCTCTGTAAGACTATGACTTAACTAGGACCTCCCACGCACTGAGGATCTAGGCTCAAGGACTGAAAATAAAAGTCAAATCCAACACCCCAATCAGGTACTGAGGGAGTACTGCACTTTTTGAGGTGCTCCCTTTCAAATGAGGTTTTAAACATAGACCTATCTGCCTGCTCAAGTGGGTGTGAATGTTTGTAGGGCACTAGTAATGGGTTTAGTCTCTGTGGTCTGGTCAATAGTTATCCTTTAATCAACATTTTAAAAACATTATCCTGTTAATACTACATTACTGTCTGTGGGAGTTTGCAGAGTGTAAATTTGCCATCATGTTTCCAACATTAGATTGTTGGCTGTAACATGCTTTGAGACATCCAGTGGTTGTGAGAAGTCTTATGTAGCTGCAAGTCTTTTAAACTCTCATTTATAAGAAAGGAGGCATTATCATCTGTGTTGTCAGTGTTTGGGTCACAAGCCTGGTTTATCTTTTGTTCTTTTCAGGTGAACTGGAGACTAATCGCTCTTTTGGGCTAGTTGAAGGGTTTACGGAAATGTCAGGTGTGACTCTGTATTCCAGACTATCATCAGTCAGTACGTTGTGGGTTCAAATCCAACTCCAGAGACTTGGATACATCATCTTCGGTCCAGTACTGCTGGAGTACCACACTGTCAGAAGTGCTTTCAGATAAGATGTTAAACTGAGGGTCCTCCTGCCCCCTCAGACCGATACAAAATATCCCACAGCAGGATGGTTCTACCAGTGCCTTGACCAATCATAAATGTCAGGTTAACTGGTGATCACCAAATTGCACACTATGGCCTCAGAAGCAGCAGGTTTATACAACAGAGTTAAGTGATCGATCTCTTAAGAATAATCTAACTCACCACTTTCTGAGAAAGAGCATCGCACAGACTAACCACCCCTGACAGAAGATACTTCTCATCTTTGCTTAAATGAGACACCTCTTGTTTTCAATATAGAGTCGAAAGTGGAATCCATGCCTGCAGAAACCCTCACTACAGAACAGTAAGTCGATGAGATAAATGAACGGGTCAACGATAGACTCATGGGGCTGCTGGAGGTAACAGTGTGGCAGTGAAACTGTTGTTGGAGATGATTGGATAGGGGAGTGTGGAACGGAATACAGGCAGCCCCACTGAGAGGCACTTGGTGTGGTCGCTCAGGTCAAAGACAGCTCTAATGCTCTAAGTGCAGGTTATTTTGCTGGACAGCCAGATCATATATGACACCCGTTTCGTCTGCGTACCTGTAAGGTGGGTCTGCCCAGGGTGGTCGCTTGAACAGTGAGGGGGCAGTGTAGTCTACTGGCTTATAATCAGCCCACTGCACTGCCCAGTCCACCTTATCATCCGGGACTGGGAAACGTCGGATTTCAGAGCCTGGGTACACCTCACTCCGTGCCTTCACATGCAGGCATTTGAGGAAATCCATGTGTGACAGTAATCCTACCAGCGTCGACTTGAAAAGAGGATAGTAAAGGGGCTGTTGCACTGCACCCAACCTGCAAAACAAGTCACTGACATTCAAAGGTGTGTTGTGAGTCCATCAAATCAGCATCTATTTACAACATTATTTCAAAATCACACATATCACTTTTGAGGTATTAAACTGAAATCTCAATTCAGAAAGACTCTTGAAATGGCATTACAATGTTAGTCTGGAGGAAGCACTTAACATTTTAGGTTGTGGGCAGATAGCTCTCTCTCTGACCAACAATAGGAGAGAGAGTAGGTGACAGCTTCCCTGTAGCAGGCAGAAGCCGCTTTAAGGAGCATAGATGATACTTGGTGTGGAATCTTCTTGATTGCATAACGTAAAATGATTCTCATTCAGAGTTTTGCAGTCAATGTCATCAGAAAATGCATCTTTTGGTCATTAATAATAATCACCAGGCTCCCCCATCTCAGTGTTTCTCGAATTCCTTTTCCTCCACTGATTGCACTCTACAGTCACTGATGCTTGCAGAACACCTTCAGGCTTCCCTCACCGTCCTGATGTCCCCAACCTCTCACTATTTATACTGGGATTGCTGTGCAGTTCTCTCATTCTTTTTGGAGTACCCAATCTCTGCCTCTATCCCAAACTCCCCAAATTCTTTCCCTCAAACCCAGTTTTTTTCTCTTTTATGCCATATTCCTCGGTTGTCCGTTTGTCTCACTCTCAGTTTCTAAACAGAACTGGTTTCTGTTGCTCTAGCCAGCTTTGTTCCTCTGGCTCTCATTCTCTAATCTTGCACCGTTTCCCTCCCCTCAATATATCTCATTGATCTTTCTATACGACTTCCCTATTCTGTCTCACTACATACGTACCTCACACCTCTCTTATTCCATTTCTCAATTCCCCTACATGGCCTTGTTTTCCACCATGCCTCTCCCTATACACAAGTTTCACTCTCACCCTCTCAATCCCTCTCCCATTCTGTCATACTCACCCTCTCCTTCCATCATCCCGTTAATCAATTAATGCAGGTCCATTCCATCTCCTCCTCCCTACACCCCCTCTCTCTCCCTCTTTCTCCCCATTTCCCCCTCTCCCCATCTCTCTCCCTCACTTTCCCCTCTCCCTGTTCCCAGTTTAATTCCAGACTATTCGCCTTCCCATTACCTCACAAACACTTTTCCTGTTCTCTTCCACATCCGGGTGTCCGTTGCCGAGGTGACCAATAGCGCAGCGCAGGTCGGGTGCGTGCTCAGCGTAGGACCTGCCGTGTTTACTGCTGTGAACATTTGGGGGCCGCCATCTTTGGTACTGGCTCTCTGTCCTCGCCTTTAAATGACATACACATTTGAGATAACAAGGTGTAGAGCTGGATGAACACAGCAGGCCAAGCAGCATCAGAGGAGCAGGAAGGCTGACATTTCGGGCCTAGACCCTTCTTCAGAAATGGGGGAGGGGAAGGGGGTT